GCAAGTTTACACAGTGGGCATAGTTGGTAAATATTAAGCTGGATTCACTCCAGAAAAATCAACAATTGACCAGATTCATTCAATAAGACAGATTCTCGAGAAAACATTAGAATTCAATATTGAAACCCATCACCTATTCGTCGACTTCAAGGCCGTAGACGACAGTGTCAAGAGAACAGTGCTATACCAATCAATGCATGAGTTTGGTATACCAGAGAAACTTATCCGACTAACGAGAATGACAATGTCTAACTTAGAAGCCACTGTTAGAATACAGGGAGAGAGTTCTAGATCCTTTGAGATAAAGGATGGACTCAGACAAGGAGATGCTCTGGCTTGCCTCCTATTTAATATTGCCTTAGAAAAGGCAGTCCGAGATACACGAATTAGGGATGGCGGTACTATTTACAATAGATCGATACAAGTCTTAGCATATGCTGATGACATTGACATAGTAGGGCGTAGCAAGCGAGATGTTGAGCAATATCTCCTAGAATTGGAAACAGCGGCGAAACAGGTCGGTCTAGTCATCAACGAAGACAAAACCAAGTACATGTTGGTTACAAAGGATCCGATAGCAAATGAGGAACGAGAAACAGTCTTTGGAAGTCATACCTTTGGACGTGTTGACAACTTCACATACCTTGGGTCGCTATTGACTGCTACCAATAAAACAAGCGAAGAAATCAAAAGACAAATAAATCTTACAAATAGGGCATACTATAGACTCCAAAAGCATTTCCACTCAAGAAACATTCAAAGAAGAACTAAAATTATTATATACAAATCATTGCTGAGACCGGTTCTCACATATGGAGCAGAAACATAGACTCTAACGCAGAAAGATGAAAGACTTTTGAGAATATTTAAGCGTAAAATACTCCGCAGAATATTTGGAGCTGTAAACGACCAAGGGCAGTGGCGCAGAAGATATAATTTTGAATTGTATCAGCTCTTTGATGAGCCAGATTTCATAACGTTCATTAAAACACAGCGACTTAGATGGGCTGGACACATAATACGAATGCCAGAAAATACGATTGCTAAAAAGCTAACCACAGGAACACCTGCAGGAAAAAGAAGCAAAGGCCGACCGCGAATTAGGTGGTTAGATGGAGTTGAAACCGACTTACGAATATTAAAAATCAGAAGATGGCAACATGTTGCCAAAAACCGAACAGAATGGCCACGAATCTTAGAGCAGGCCAAGATCCACAGAGGATTGTCGAGCCAAAGAGATGATGATGATGATCGACAAGACAAAAATCAAGATACGTTTTAAAGGTAAAGAGCAGCTGTGTAGAATGCTACACAAAAAATATTATTAAACATATTTATTCAAAATTATCTCAGCTACATTTTTTATTTAAAATATTTATTTCCGCGGTGTATAGATTCTTGTTAAATCGATCTTTTCACATTTTTATCCTCCTGTGAAGGGGAAGCCCGGTAGTAAAAGTGGTAAACTCTTCTGCATCTTTTTTAAGATCCCAAAATTAATATTCTCTGCAAAAGTCAGCTTGCTCGTATGATTTTTAGGGGTCAACTCTCTGACGACTGGACTAAATAATATTTGAAAAATTATATCACGCTTTTGATATACGGGATATTGTGCAGACTACATCGTACTTAGGTACTTAGGACATGAAATTCGGTTGAGCAGAGAAAAAATCGCGTCGTTAAAATGGAATTGGGCAGGACACGTCACCAGATTATCAGACAACTGATGGACAAAACATATTTTAGAGTAGAGTCCAAGGCAAGAAGCAATACGGAGCAGATGACGCCCACCAACTAGACGGACTGACGACCTGAAGCGTGTTAGCAATAACTGGATGCAAGCCGCATAAGACAGAGACGGATAGAAAAAGCTAAAGGGGGCCTATGTCCAGCAGTGGACGCATACACGTTGATGATGATGATGATCATCATGATGATGATAATGATGGTGAATAATCTGCAGTCAAGGATTAATTGGCAAAATAAGAAACTGGCATGTAAAAACAAACCTTTTACTGAACTGGCATGAACCATTAATGGCAAAATAAAATAGGGGAGAGTGGTCCACAGTGAGACGGTTTTTAGTCATTGGAGATTTTTTTACAACTTTTTCTATTTATATTGAAAACAAACAAATAATCCTGTAAATTGGTCTTTGTTTTACAAAAATACACAACAGAAATATATTTGAACTTGAAAACATAAGTCGTAAAAAAAATTCTTTTTGATGTTGCAAAGTGTCTCACTGTGTCCCACGGTGGTCCACACTAAGACACACAGTGGTCCACAACGAGACATCGTTCAACTTTACAAGAACATAGTCATCAATGACTGCATTTCTACTCAGTTCTTCGAATCCTGTTATTGGAGCATCAAGGTCGGCATCATGTACAGATGAGCTGTTCAAGGAATCTGCTGCGTCACTTGAAGAACTATTTTCGGATTCGATAAATCGTTTTTTTACTGTCTTAGCTCTAGCTTTGGGTTTTTCGGCGTTCTTTGTTTGAAGTTCAATTTTTTCTGGAGTATATGTTGAAATGAAACTTCTTCCGCGTTTTCTGTTCTGCTCTCGTTTTTTTTTGGAGCAGCTTTGGGATAGCCTCGAAACTCTTGAGAGCTTGAAAACGATTTTGTTGTCATGACGGTTGCTTCAGAATCATGGTTAATAGTAAGTGTTGTTATCACAGTATCAAGATTCAAAGTAGAATCCCCATGTTTGTCATTTGTACAGGAATCTGAAACTAGAGATTCGACAGTACCATTTGAAGATGTTGACTATTCAGGCCGGTCTGTGACGGAACTAGGAAGAAAATCTTCTTCTGCAAAAACATTCCCGATCATAAGGGAAAATACCCGATTTACGGAATCCTGATGTTATATTAATCGGAGTCATTGAATGCTGAAATGCACTCGTAATACATTCTGGTATATCGTATATGATCATTGGAACTCCGGGGTGATGCATGAGCCAAGAGTCGACAGCTCTGTTATAGTGTAGCTTAAATGAAAAATAAACGCTAACATCTAATCTTTGTAGTTTATTACTACAATGGGGAGGAAAGATTAAAGTAGTCACTCCATTGGATTTGGTGAAATCCACACATTCAATTGAAAGATTACTCTCGTGGTTATCGAACAACAGGAATGTTGGATTTTAGATTGAGAAATTTGTATGGTTTATGAAATGATGCATAACTTCTACAAAAAACTCGCTATTTATCCAGCCCGAAGGTGTTGCAAGTCCCAAACTACAAGTTAGCGCATTACGAAGCATATGCGGTTTAAAATATGCCCTAGGAAATATAATAGCTGATGGAATCGTGTTTCCTTAAGCACTTATGAAGCAGCAGGTCGTTACTAAAGACCCTCTTTCGGCACTAGTTACTTGACTCACTTGTTTAACTCCTTTGTAAGCGATCACTTTTTTTGGTTTCTGAACAGTTGTCACAGTTTCATCTAGATTCCATATTCTAGAGCCATCGCCAAATCTTTCGTGCCTGCTCAAGACATTGTACAATTTATCAAAGGAAATTGACACATTATGTTTATTGAAAGATGTAGCACACGAGAGACTAAATCCTTCTGGTTGTCTGATGCTCAAGTTGGGTGATTGTTTTAAAAATCCTCTCATCCATTCTAAGCCGGCAGCTTTATTTTCTGACCAATTATTCGGAATCCGAATATTATTTTTTTGAGCCATTTCGTATGCTAAACGGCGACCTTCAAGAGTTGTTAGGCCATAGTTCATTTTTGAGCACATTCCGAGGTATTCTGCCAGTGCAAATTTCTGTTCTTTCGACATAATTTGACGACATTTATAGAAAGATTTCATTTTCATTTCGGTATCAAAGTTATTCCTTTTTTTTTTCACGTATCTGAAATAGAAAGATGATTGTTTATTGAAAAAATAAAATCTTTTACGAGAAACCTAATCTACCGTCATCATTTCCTTTACAATTAACCTTGCTAAAGTCTGAAATGACACCGCCTTCAGTTCTGCTGCTTTTCGCAATGCAAACCCTCTTTGTGTCTAATTTCACGGCTTCTCTCATTTCACTGTCAGAAAAAGAAGCAATGTTTGTCTTTCTTTTTCTATTCCTTGCCATAATCTACAAAAAAAAGAAACAAATAGTATGAGTTTGTATTATCGAACTAACATCCTCGATGGGGTACAGTTAGACGCGTCTCAGTCTGCCCCACTAAGGATTGTCTCACTGTACCCTGGAGGTACAATTTCTCCAAGTGTGGTATTTTTTCTAAATTCAATAAAATAAAGCAATATCGCTACTTAATTACATGCAAAAATACCTAAGCTTTACTTACCGCCAATATCAAAGTACTAACTCAATTCACAACCAAATAATATCAGTCGATGTGAGACACAATATAAATATTTTCGGGAGCAAAAATCACACTACCACCTGACTCGCAAAAACGAACAAGCGAACTGAAGCCAGAATTGCCAGATGATTTTTTTTATTTCCCTAGAATTTTTGCCAAAATTTCCCTAGATTTCCCTAACAACTTGACAACTATATTTAGCCTAGAATGGACCACACAAGTCTGACGTCAGAATGAGCGGGATTTTTAAAAACCTTTCCAAACATTTCTAATTTGAGTTTATTGGTCACATAAGAAGTTGGAAATATTGGTATTTTAATTGTTTGTAGAATAAATAAGGACTTTTGATTTATGAACATTCATTCTGTGCGATTGGTATTATTTGTTGTTCATGAATTTGTGAGGTAAAAATCCTCCTCAATCTTTTCTCCTTCGTAAGGATATAGTGGCGTCATGTAATTTTTTAAATATTTTTGTCTAATTATCTCTTTCCTGTGCGTGTTGTTTTGCTGAGAAGAAGAATGAATAACCAGTCATCTCTTTTATTTGGTCCGACCATCGTACTGGAGATCTTCCTCTGGATCTTTTACCCGCTACGTTACCTTCAACTATCATTTGCTCTATGCCTTCTCTTCTTCTAGTTATATGTCCACAATATCTCAGTATGTTTGGGTTGATAGTTGTGATGAATCTAATTTTATGTTAAGTTCTGCTAGAATTGAGTTATTTGTGCGATAAGCGGTCCATGGTATGCGCAGCATTCTACGGTAGACCCACATTTCAAAGGCCATTGTACGCTTTGAATCGGCTTTTGTTATTGTCCAAGTTTCTGAAGCATAGGTGGCGATAGGAAATATCAATGCTCGAACAAGGCGTAATTTTGTATTTTTTGTGATGCCAGTGTTCTTCCAAATTTTTGTGAGTTTAGCTGTTGCCGATCTGGCCATTGTGTGCGTCGACGGATCTTGTCTTCGCATCCTCCACTGTTAGTAATGAAGAAGTCTAAGTAATTAAATTGCCTGACTACTTCGTAACCTGTCATGTTTTTTATCTCTGATTGGTTGTTTCTGATTCTATCGATGATCATCACTTTGCTTTTCTGCATATTTATTTTCAAACTATATTCCGTATTCACCGTGCCTAGCCTATTCACAATTTGTTCCAGTTCTTCTGGTGATGACGCCAATATAACAGTGTCATCAGCATAACGCAGGTTTTTAATTTTTCTTCCTCGTATCGTTGCAGTAACTATAAAAGAAGCCGAGGACGACCACCGACTAGATGGACCGATGATATAAAACGTGTAGCGGGAAACTGGCTACAAGCGGCCCAGTGTAGAGAACACTGGAAAGAACTGAAGGAGGCCGATGTCCAGCAGTGGACGCGATTGGCTGATTGATGATGATGATCGTTGCTTCACCTTACCTTGCCACTTTCCTCAACAACTTGACGCACATGTTCACTATACACATTTAATAGAATAGGGCATATTATGCATTCCTGTCGAACTCCAGATTTTAATTTTATGTTTTTCGAAATCACATTATTAACTCTTACATTAGCAGGTATTATTTACCTATAGTTTTTGTAATAAATAGATTAGCTGTATCAGCTGTACTCATTTCACTAAGTGTATGCCACATTTTATTACATTTTACGGTATCGAAGGCTTTGGAATAGTCAACTAAGCACTCTCGAGATTTTTCGATAATTTGACAAATATTAAGAATATGTTCTCTTGTTTCTCTACCTGGGACGAATCCGCATTGTTCTTGGGGAATTTGTGGTAAGGGAATTAATTTTAGTCTTTTATTAATGATGGTTAGAAGTACTTTGCTCGCGTGTGATATCAATGCTACTGTGCGGTAATTACTGCAATCAGCTGTCGGTAAACCTTTTTTTATATATGGGAATAAACGCAAGTTTACCCCAGTCATTTGTCCACTTTCCGGTATTCCAAATCTCATTGCAAATTCTAAGCATTACTTCCGTCCCTAATTCTCTTATTGCTTTGAGTGTTTCACCTGTTATTCCATCTTCTCCTTCTGCTTTTCTGGATTTTAGCTTTTTAATTGCCACCTGAATTTATGATTTCAAATTTTGAGGTTCTTTTTCATAACTTATTTTCTCTGTATTACTGTCTCGCTCGTTGTTAGAAAATAGTATTTCGCAATATTGTTTCCACACCTTTGCGAGGCCCTCTGGGGTTTTTATGATATTTCCACTATGTATTATCTTTGATGATCTATGTTTGCGGTTTGAATTCTCTCGCTAGATACTTGACTTTTGAGAAAGTTCTAGGTTCTTGGCGGTCAGCATGTTCCTCTAGTTGTACACATATGTTTTTAATATAATTATTTTTGCCCCTTCTGCACAAGTGTTTTATAGTTATATTTATGGTAAGAAGGGTAAGAATATCAAAGTATTAAGATATTTTAGTCCAGGTGGATCCCTGACGTAATTCGCCCTTTGTGAAATACCACCACTCTAGTCATCGACGAGAAATCACATAAACAGTTAGAGAAAGATAAACTAGAAACCAAAAATCGCCCGATGGGCGACGCCAATACATACTTTAGCCCAGGTAGATCCCCGACGTAATTCGCGGTTCGTGAAATTTCACCACTCTAGTTTCCGACGGGAAATCACAAAAACAGAATTTAGTGATTCCACGAATAGTATGATTTCCAAGTAGATGATATAATATGTGCGATTTTGGAAGGTTTATTAAATAAAACTGATTTTTTAAAATATTCTTACAAATATTAATAATTCCCTAGATTTTTCATAGAATTTAATAAAAATCCCTTTTTCCCTAAGCTGGCTCAAAATTCCCTAGGTATAGGGAAAATTCCCTAGGTCTGGTAACGCTGTAAAGCTAAGATTTGCCGGTAGACTCTACGTGTCGAGACAACTTTATGATGAGGATAGCGCGCAAAGCGCTTATTATGTCCTCAGAAAATGCATTGTCTCACTGTGGAGTGGAACATGTCTCACTGTGGACCACTCTTCCCTACACTTACTGTAAAATGTCAAACTCGAATATAAAATTAATTGTGAAAACAACTGTTTGTGTAACATAGATAACTTCTAAATATGCAAAACAGAACAAAAAACAGCAAAAACATAGCCACATGTAAACAAACCAGAAACGTCATAAACTGTACTAAAAATCTGAAAAGGTACCCAATTTTGTTTTACCTACCTTTTGTACCACAATGTATCATGTGGAAGATTAAGATGCTAGATAAAAGTATGTGCACAGTATAAATAACAACCAGTATTCTCACTCTGCGGCGGTACCTTTGATCTTTTTAGTCCAAATTCGGTGACCTTGACGCCATATTGTTTGGCCGAAAACCTAGGACTGGCTCTGCACATATGGACGCGACAGAGCCGACTTTGATTTATTTTGAAAATTTATTTAACGAAATTGATTTTAATTTCAAAACTTTTTTCTTGTTACTCTTTCATTCTTCGAGAAATTAAAAAAAAACCTAAAATTGTTTCTTTCACTACGTTGTGTATGATTTTGTTTTCTAACGTTTCACAACTATTTGTTACAGAACTGCCTTATACACTATAAAAAAATCAAATAGGGAGTTATGCAACAGTTTTTAATAAACATGCTAGTTTTAAAGCTGCATGTTTATAAAGTAGAATAAAATGCAAAGTTTCATTTCAAAATTCAAATACAGAGTTTGGAATTAGTTAATATATTCTAATTATATCTCATTAAAAACACAAGAGGATGTGAACAAAACTCCTAAATAGGTATATTGATTAGTGATTGATCTTACCTGGTCATTGTAATAGACTATTTTGACTTGTTATTTCGATATAAACGATTAAATAATGTGTTATTGATGTTTCCAAATAATTATTTTGTTTTTTCTTTTAGTTTTATTTTCATATTTTTGAGTATTGAAATTTCTGTTATTGAATTTTAATAAATAGTGCAAACGTACACGGCTAAATAAAGTTGTACAATATTTGAGTGGACTTTGTTCAAAAGGTGACTAAAAGTTGTAATAAATCGAGAAACATGTTGTAATAATAATTGGCTGTATAGCTAATATGTCAAAATTATTTTGAAAGTGAATGCCAAGTATACCTACTTATAAAGTCAACAGAATCACCAGTAGGGATTTTTAGATTACCAAATTTGTCACCGGTTCTATTTTTATATACATTAACATATAAATATACAGTTGTATCCGATAAATTAGTTACACTTTTTGTGTAACTGTCTGCTATATTATTTTTAAATAATAGATTAGGGTTGGGTAAACAAAATTTGTTACACAAAATATTTTTGTAAAACTTTTGGTCCCTTGAAGTACATTAAGAGACATCCTGTTTAAACTGATTATTGAATCTTCTACCTCTTGCCTTTTTTCTAGACTGTAAAATTTGAACATTTATGAAATTAGTTAAATTTAATGAAGTACAAAATTTAGATGAAAGTGCCATATAGTCTTCAATAATTGTCACATTATCCACACATTTCTTTTCTTTAGAGTGTAATGTCTGAATTTTTTATTTAAATAATGGTTTTCCTTCTATAATTTCATAACTGTACTTCATAACACAAATTTTCTTTGAGTTTTTTCCAACAATTCTTGTTGATGTACATTAGACATCTAACGGAATCATACAAAGTGCTCAAAGTAGTGCCATCTGGTTAATGTTAAGAATGGATTTGTGGAAATAAAAAATAAATTTTTAAATAAACTTCATTTATTATTACGTGTTACATTAGATATTACATTTATTTATTAATAACAAAGGTGACAGATCCACTGTCAAAATTATACAAAAATACATTGTAGATAAACACAATTACAGATAAAAATTAAATATACATGTATAAAGTAAGTACACATTAAGTTTACAAAGTATCATTTTGTAGTTTAAAATTTCAAAAGTTAAACAAATTATATCTCATGAGCACTGATTTGCATGTATGGGAAGTCAGATCATACCTATATTTGAACTATAATTAGTTCTGCGATGAGATACATGGAAATGTAAATTCTGGCACAGTGAACGGGAAGGAATATGAAAAGAAATTAGCTAAAGCAATTCAGGAGTATGGATTATTCTATAAACAATTGCTTTTGTTCAAATGTGATTTTGAATGATATTTTACAATGCTGTTTACTTGATCTTGATTAATGTCAATATAATTAATTATTAATTAATTAGAAGTAATGCTCTAATACATTTTTATGGAATATGATAAAATATTTTAGTTACATCTCTCTAAAAACATAAGAGAATGTGAAGAAACCCCCTAGATAGGTACATTAAGTATTAATCGATATTATCTGATCACTGTAATAAAAAAAGAGTATTTTGACTTTTTACATTGTTATAAACAAGTAAATAATGTTTTATTGATGTTTCCAAATAATCAATTTATTATTTCTTCTTTTGGTTATATTTTCATGTTTTTTAGTCTTGAAATTTCTCTTCATGAATTTTAATGAATAGTACAAACGTACACAGCTAAATAAAGTTATACAATATTTTAGTGGAAATTGTTCACAAGGGTGGCTAAAATTTAAGGTACTAAATAGAGAAACATATATTTGGCTAATATGCCAAAATTCTTGTGAAAGAGACAGTCAAGTATACTAATATAGTTAACAAAATCAACAATAGCCATTTTTAGATTACCAAATGTTTCACCAGTTCTATTTTCATATCCCTTAAACATGAATATACAGTAGTATCTGACAAATTAGTTACAGTTTTTGAGTATCTGTCACACATTTTACAACTATGGATTTCTATACATTTTTTCATTAAATATCCACACACATGGTATAAAATTTATTACCCACTGTCAAAATATACAAAAATATAATATTATAGATATATACAATATACCTATACAATTACAAATAAAATATACATGAATAAAATAAGTAAGTACACATTAAGTTATACAAAGTATTATTTTGTAGTTTAGAATTTCAGAAGATAAACAAATTATATCTCATGAGCAGTGATTTGCATGCATGAGAAGTTAGATAATATGTTGTATGTGTTTAAATAATGTATTAGGACTAAGTAAACAAAATTTTTTGCACAAAAAATTTCTATAAACTTTTGGTCCAGTGAAGTACATTAAGAGACATTCTTGTTTAAATTGATTACTAAATCTTCTACCTCTTACCTTTTTTCTAGATTGTAAAATTTGAAAATTAATGAAATTAGCTATATTTGCAAAAGGATATAATTTAGATGTAAGTGCCATATAGTCTTCAATTGTCACATTGTCAATATATTTCTTTTTTTTAGACTGTAACTTCTGAATTTTTTTTTAATAATGATTTTCCTTCCGTAATTGTATAACTGTACTTTGTAATACATTTTTTCGGGGAGTATTCACTAATAATTGTTGTGACACTTGAGTTGTACTAAGTGGTGTTACTGGACGTGTAGTTACATGTTCAGGTTCTTCATAGAATATGTTGTTTTTAACAGGAGTAATAGTAATATCCTGAAGTACAGTTATAGTGGATGGTTTATGTTTAATACTAACATTTTTCTCTATATCCATAGCTGAACTTTTCACTACTTCTAAAAGAAAAAGAGAAAGCTTACATAGGTGTTACATCTTAATTATTTATTTTATTTACCTTCATTAATAGGAGATCTTGGCAGACATATGTGTTAGACTATTGCAGAATAAGTATGATCAAAAGTTGATGAGCCCTCCAATAAAGGAAAGTTTGTGGGAACTGCAGAAGGTTGTAATCGACTTTTCATATTCAGAAACATCTTATTGTGGAAATGAGTACCACAAAGACGACGACTTCTATGTAGACGTTCTGTCTTATCCAATAAATCTTCTCGTTCACATGCCATTAACCAAATTTTTGCCCTAAATACAAACATTTTTTAATACACGATGAAAATCCACCGTTAATAAATAATATAACATCTGTAATACACGATTTTAATCCTAATTTAACACTCACCTATTGTATCTATTAACATCTTTTGGAAACGAAAAGAACTAACATTACTTTGTCTACAAGTATTACAACACTTTGTAGTTGCATAAGTGTGGCAAGGCTTTTTGTTTTTATTTTTGTACATATCGATGTACTTATATAATGTAATTGCGAAATAAAAAATGTATACAGATTATTTGTATCTATAAATACACAAAAAGTAAACAAATACAATGGCCAGAATGGCCTCTATATTATTGACAAATGACAATGGATAATGGCCAATGAGAGCCGTGAAATTTTTCGGAGGCCAGAGAAAATGGCGTCGCTGTCTGCGCGAGTAAAATGCGCGAACTTTCGCGCCAAAGCGGAGTGGGAATACTGGTTGTTGTCTATACTGTGGTATGTGTCTTATTTTGCCAGGTATTAATGACGTACAAGAAAATAACCATGGACTCAACTGTATGTGTTTACGTTTTATTACAATATTTTTAGTAAAAAGAATTTTTTGACATTTTACTGTACTTTTTACATTTATGAAAAATATGGTAGTTTCTATTAAAAAACAAAAACAAAGAAGCCTAATTAACGAGTCGATCAATTGCAACACAACTAGGTCATATAAAAAACTCTTTGTTAATGAACCATTAGCTGTCAGTGCTTTATTTCACTAAATAGTACGTCAAATCAATTATGATTTTCAAGTTAAAGACGATATACTTAAAAGCGTTCTATATAAAATATGAAATTAGAACTAAAGTCGATAGTCAAGGCGGGATCTCTTTTGAATTGGATATTTTCCATAGGAGTCTATTTTTTCCTAAAATCCCTTCAGGATGTACTTTGTATCAATAATTATGATATGAGTCAGTCATAAATATATATATACAGTGTAGAAAAAAGTTTATGGTCGGTATGGACCTTACGTGAGATGGAGTGAGAAACAGCTGTTTAGAAAGAGATATGTATATTAGGTCCGCCCTTTATATCGCCAAACATGCATGCGTGGAAATAATAAAAAAGAAGAAGTTCAACGTTGCCAAACTTAATAGTTTTATTTGACCTGTTGTCTTTTTTGCCTTTGAAAAATGTTCTAAGATAATCAAATTTGAGCGAAATTGATTTAAATGGCAGCTTACTGTTTTTTATTGGGAATATGCCACAAGTTTACTTTACAATCAGTGTAATATAACATTTTGATTTCCACTTCGGAAATCGTTTTATATAAATAAAATTTATAAGTGTTTCGTATTTTAAGTACGATTTCCGAATTAAAAATCTAAACATCAAAATAAGCTTATTTTAAAGTCACATTGTGCCTTATTGCCAATATGAAATAATAAACTGCATACAATAACGCCACATTAAAAAATATTCATAAACAATAATAATTATTTGGCAACGTCCATCTGCTAAAAACACCGAGTAACGAGTAGTAGAGGTGGGTCGTGGTAGTTTTATCGTTAAGAGCGTAGGCACAAAATTTCGGGCCAATATTTTTTAAATGCATTCATTTTTTTAGAATCCTGAGAAAACCAATAAATATTTTTAAAAAATTTAAACGCAGAATGAAACAGTACATTATTACCGAGGGCCGAAAGTCCCTGAAAACTTCTATAATGTTTATTTTAATAAGTTATACGGCTAAAAAAAAATTAGTGTGATTTTTAATTTCAAATATCTCATTCAAAAAACTTTTTGTTTATTCTAAGGGACTTTCGGCCCTCCGTAATAATGTAATCTTTTATTCTGCATTTAAATTTTTTAAAAATATTTGTTAGTTTTCTCAGGATTCCAAAAAAAAATGAATGCATTTAAAAATTTAAATTTTTGTAAACAAGTAACTATGATTGTTTAAAAGTAGTTTCAAGTAAGAGAGTACCTACATAAACAAACATAATGACTATTATCGTTTATGTGTATATTTATTGAAGTGAAAGAAACAAATGATATATTTATTATAACTTGAAAAATAAACTAAACAATACAAATAGTAAATCGTACTTACATTTACATTACACGTTATTATTAAATCGCGAATAGTCTAAATTGAAATTAAAAAACATAGGTTTCTCTACTTTACTTCTTATTAACGTCTTTTTTTTTATTTCAGATTAAACCAGATTTTGAACATGTGTTTACATTTACCATACTTTATGAATATAGTGGTTAAGTTAGGATATACATGGCGATGGTTTTTCCACCGTTCTAATGGACTCTCGATACAGGTGTACGTGTAGATGAGCCATCTCCAATTAATTGATCAAAAATACACCATGGATTTAAGTCATCTTTATTGGTTTCTTTTTCTTGTACTGGTTGATTTTCAATAGTACAATCTTCTTGTTCGTTAATTATAGAAGTAACCAGCTTCTTAATTTTTTCTTTTATTTTTTTATCTTCATTTTTATCAGAAAAACCCTGCACCTTAAATACTGAATCCATAAATGTACATAATGACAATGTGTCACTCTCAGGGATAAAACCCTTTAAATCTTTTTGCTAAACCCGATATTAGTAATTGTACTACGTCGGATACTATGGATGTAAGGTTAGACCAACATACAACGGCAGAAAATCTTAAGAAGATGTTAGAAAAACACTTTCCAGAAGTAATATGTACGTCGTTAACGGCTAAGCATCCCAACATATATTCATCTTTTAAAGTTTCAATTTTTGAACAAAATTTCGGTAAAGCGATGGACCCAAAACTATGGCCAGTAGGCTCTTATGTAAGTAGGTTTTTTATGAAACGCTCAACACATACGCAAATAAAGTGAAGTATGAAGAATTGACTTTTAAACAGGAAAAAGGAAGGGATGAGTACGATCTCCTGCTGTCAAATATTCAGGGACTAAATCAATTTAAAATGGATTGTTTATTTGCTGATTATAAGGAGTCTGATTTAAAATTTCTTTGTATAACTGAGATGTGGTCAGCAAATGACGAGGTGATTCATTATAATTTTCCAAATTTTAAAATTGTAAATTCTTTTAGTAGATCCCAATATAAATGTGGTAACGTTGCAGTTTGGGCAAGGGATGATATGAAGGTTAATTCCATTTTATTCGATCAGTACTGTGTTGAAAAAGAGATTGAGGTATGTGGGCTGAAGTGGCATTATAATGCAAATCAACACACAATTTTAGTTTGCTACAGATGTCCTAAAGGTAAATTTGATGTATTTTATGAAAAACTTAACCTTATTTTAAATTCAAATTTTAAACCAAATCAATTCATATTTTTAACAGGTGATTTTAATATAAATTCCATGACACTAAATAATTCACACAGATTTTCTGGTCTTCTAGCATCTTATGGTTTATCACCCAGGAACTTTACACCTACAAGGTCGACTTCCACATGCGGAAATATTTTGGATCAGGTATATAGAAATTGTGATGATTGTGTAGGTACTGTAAATGTAAATACTGAATCGGATCACGATATATTCCTTTTAAGATTGAATTTTATTAATCTAACTATGGCATCAGTTCGAAATACTTTTAGAGTAACACATAAAGGCGCTATAGATGCATTCAACAATCTCTTGAGTAAAGAAACATGGCAAGATATTTATCAACTCTCAACATATGCAACTGATGTTGAGAGTAAATATTTCATGATAAATTACAGTTCTATTTCAATGTTAGTTGTCCTATTAGAGAAACCAAACATTACCAAAACAAAAAAAAACATGGGTCACCCAAGAAGTAAAATCTTCTTCAGATAGTCTGAAGGATTTGTATATATTGAGTAAGACTTACCCTGAGCTAAAAACTCTACATAGACAAAAAAAATATCAAAGTTCTTGTTGAGGCCACAAAGGGTCAGTTTTATTTTAACAAAATCTCTGAATCCTCTAACAAAAACAAAACCACATGGGCTGTTATAAACGAACTTAATGAAAAACAAAAAAATTACAAAAATATCTGTCTAAAAATAGATGATACTAGGATTACAGATTCAGATATAATATCAAACAAATTTAATGATTACTTTATAGATGCACCAGTGGATATAATTAGTAAAATAATTAAACCAAATTTAAATTTTCAGCATTCCAATGATTTTGTTCAAAGTAGTTTGTTCCTATCTTATGTAACAGAGGAAGATGTCTTAGATATAATAAAATATAAAATTAAAAACAAAGCATCGTGTGGTTTTGATGAAATATCAGGTATAGTAATTAAGAAAATTGCGTCTCAAATTTTGACACCACTGACTCACATTATAAATGCTTCCTTCAATACTGGTGTTTTTCTCAATATGCTGAAAACTTCTATCATTTCACCGGTATTAAAACAAGGTGATCCTGAATTAATGTCAAATTTTCGACCATTGTCTGTTCCATCTGTAATACCTAAGATTATTGAATATGCAATGCTAAAACAACTTTTATTATTTTTAGATATCAACCAAATTATCACAAAGCATCAACATGGATTTCGAAATAAATTTTCTACTTCCACAGCCATTAACAGTTTTTATGAGGAAGTCTTACTCTCAATTAAGAACAGTGAAAATCCAACTGCCATTTTTTGTGATCTCAGTGTGTAACACGATGTGCTCCTCGATAGATTGTACAGATATGGTGTTAGGGGAGTTGCCCATAGTTGGTTTGGTTCCTATCTGAAAAACCGGCACCAAATAGTTAAAGTGAAAAATAACTTCAAGATTTGAATGTCTGATCCGATTATTAATAAGAATGGAGTACCACAGGGCTCAATATTGGGCCCTATATTATTTATTTTGTATATTAATGAACTACCACATGTAATGCCTAATGCATTTGTATCAGTTTATGCGGATGACTCAACAATGCTATATCGCGATAAAGACATAAATTTTTTACAAGATAAAATAACAAACTCTCTGAAGACCTTCTCTGATTGGTCCAGTAATCAGTCGCTCCTGTTCAATGTTCACAAAACTAAATTTTTATCATTTACATCACGTTCAAATTTAACTAAACCTGATTTAAGTATTTCCATCAATGGTGAGGATATTTTGAGTTGTAGTGATGTGAAGTTTTTAGGAGTGACTTTCGACTCTCATTTATCTTTTAAGACTCATTGTTGGAATGTATGTGAAAAACTCAATTCTAAATGTTATAAATTGAGAAATTTGGGTAGAATACTTAGTCTGCAACACCTTCGTCTTTTTTATTTTGCTGAGGTACAATCGACAATAAGTTAAGGTATAACTGTCTGGGGTGGTTCATCTAGTGTAAAGGACGTTTTCAAGGCCCAAAAGCGTATTGTCAGATGTATAGCAGGTGTTCCGTATGGTTGGTCTTGTAAAAACCTGTTTAGAGATTTGAATATATTAACAGTGTATGGAATTTACATTTTGGAATTATTGATACTAATTCATAAAAATAAAAGAACTTTTTTATGTAACAGTGATATTCACTCACACAACACAAGAAATAAGAGACAGTTTGTAGTACCCTATCGACATTTAGAAATAAGCAGGAAGTCATCTACTAGTGGTTTACTACTGTATAATCAACTTCATCAAAATTTTAAAAACATTAATTCAACTACAGCTTTTAAAAACCAAGTCAAAGAGTACCTAGTGACCATGTGTCCTTATACATTAGGTGAATATTACAAGGGTGTATCTGTGAATACCTAAGCTGCAACATAACCAAATTTATTACTATTTTAATTTATGTCTATATTGTACGTTTTTTAAGTATTTTATTGTTTTAAATATTTTTAATGTATTGTTTCCATTTTTTGTAATATTTAATATTTATTATTTTAGTTTTGACTTGCTGTAAACCTAGTTGTAACTTACAGTCAAATAAACTATATATCTATCTATCTATCTAACCTCCGTCGCGGAGATAGTACGTAAAGAAGAAGAGATTTTTAGATTTTCAAAAAAAAATAATTACTCATGAATTAGTTACATTTCCCAGACAGAATTTTTAAATCATCAATTTGTAGAATAAATTAAGAATAAATCAACCATATCGGTTTAAGAACAAAATATGATTGAAATAACAGTTGGTAGTTTAGATTTCTTTTTTAAGTGGCGCTAAGAGTTATGGTTCCAGACAAACTGCGTGACGTGTCATCCTAGCCTTTTATATAGATAGTCGGTTTTTTTAAATATTGTTTTATGATTTTTGTAATTTTGAAAATTTGAAAAAATATAAAATATAATTTATTCATCATTTATATTTTTATTATTATGTTGTATTTGTGTCTAATTACTTAATTTTAATTATCATTATATTTTACCAAAATGCTTTGAAAAAAGAACAAATGATGAATATGTCATATGTTGTATTCTGGGAGTAAAGGCAGAGGCATAGCTTTCTTATCGTCTATTTATGGTTTTTAATTGAATGTATTTTATTTTATTCGATTTGATTAGTTTTTTATTTCATTTCATTTCATTTCATTTCATTTCATTTCATTTCATTTCATTTCATTTCATTTCATTTCATTTCATTCCATTTCATTCCATTTCATTCCATTTCATTCCATTTCATTCCATTTCATTCCATTTCATTCCATTTCATTCCATTTCATTCCATTTCATTCCATTTCATTCCATTTCATTCCATTTCATTCCATTTCATTCCATTTCATTCCATTTCATTCCATTTCATTCCATTTCATTCCATTTCATTCCATTTCATTCCATTTCATTCCATTTCATTCCATTTCATTCCATTTCATTCCATTTCATTCCATTTCATTCCATTTCATTCCATTTCATTCCATTTCATTCCATTTCATTCCATTTCATTCCATTTCATTCCATTTCATTCCATTTCATTCCATTTCATTCCATTTCATTCCATTTCATTCCATTTCATTCCATTTCATTCCATTTCATTCCATTTCATTCCATTTCATTCCATTTCATTCCATTTCATTCCATTTCATTCCATTTCATTCCATTTCATTCCATTTCATTCCATTTCATTCCATTTCATTCCATTTCATTCCATTTCATTCCATTTCATTCCATTTCCATCCATTTCATTTCATTCATTTCATTTCATTTCATTTCATTTCATTTCATTTCATTTCATTCCATTTCATTCCATTTCATTCCATTTCATTCCATTTCATTCCATTTCATTCCATTTCATTCCATTTCATTCCATTTCATTCCATTTCATTCCATTTCATTCCATTTCATTCCATTTCATTCCATTTCATTCCATTTCATTACATTTCATTCCATTTCATTCCATTTCATTCCATTTCATTCCATTTCATTCCATTTCATTCCATTTCATTCCATTTCATTCCATTTCATTCCATTTCATTCCATTTCATTCCATTTCATTCCATTTCATTCCATTTCATTCCATTTCATTCCATTTCATTCCATTTCATTCCATTTCATTCCATTTCATTCCATTTCATTCCATTTCATTCCATTTCATTCCATTTCCATCCATTTCATTTCATTCC